CCCCAAAACCCCAAAACCCCAAAACCCCATAGTTATGAATTCTGAAGACTATTCTGATACGAATTATTTGTTAATGAATTATTTGTTAATTGATCAATTTAGTTGGGATAAAGGGTTAAAGTTTTAGATATGTCATAATTAAAAGTTTTATGGATCAAATACGTGAATTTATATTGATCAAGTGCAAATTAAAAGCACAAGATGTTGAGTCAGTAATGAATTCTCTAGAGTAAGCTGGAATAGATACAATAGAATATTTGTCTCAATGTGATTAAGAACTACTAAAAGATTGTGGTCTCAATAAGTTTTAAGCTGGACTTATTTCTAGAAAAATTACTGAAATTAATAACAATCCTGATATCAACAATGCAAATGACTAATCTTAACCTACTGCCTCTTAAAAAAATATCAATAATTTGAAAGAGGAAAAGAGGGTCATTCAGCTTCCTGAAATTGATTGAATCTGAGAGAGCAGACCAAATATAGAATAGAGAGAAAGAAGTGCCTTCGAAGACGATGTTGAAGAAATGTAAATCGATACTTCATCTAAAAAAGATTCTCACTAAAGATCAGAACTATTAAATCAAACTAATTTTTTGGATGTAAGTAGCGCAAGCAAGCAACCAACCAAATCTGGTTTCTCATTATCTAATTTGAAGAGAACTGTAAGCAAAAGTAAAGGATCAGCTTCATCTTTATCTGGTGAAAAACAAAACTATCTTCTTTATTAGAGCTATATCGATTTGAGTTCTGAATACAAAATGAACAAAATCAAATTAATCAATGAAGATTTTATGGAGCTTGTAAGAGATCTCAAGACAAAAAAGTCTCAAGTAGTTGGTTACTTCGGTGATTATCATTAATGCTTAATGGCAGCAGAAGTATTTCTCCAAAGACCTCATCCGACAAATCTATAGTCTTTTGAAGAGGGAATAATTGCTATTAAAAATGATCAAAGAATAGCACTAATTTACAAAGCTCCAGAAGACGTTTATAATTTCAATAATGGATCTGATTCTACACTCTAGGTTTCAACATTCATTCGATACTTAGTTGATATTTGCGAAATAATTATATGTGTGCCAAGCAAGAATCTAGAGGTCAATCCTGACATTAAAAATCCTTTCTAAGAGTTTAAGAATCCTGGATTCTCAATGAAGGAAATGATTATTCAACCAGATGAAAATGTTTCGACTAAATTTATACCGGGGTCTATTGATAAGGTAAAAGCCATTAACATTCAGGACTATTAAATATCTGGTGATAATTCTAAATTCCTTTCTTATGCTAAATTCGATACTTCAATTATCCATAATGAAATAAGATTTAAACTCTCTGGAAATTTTGTATAATGCAAGAGAAATGGATATCATTTCTACAAAGATTATTCTTACTTAGAATTGAGGAAGGAAGTTATGGATTATTGGCCTAATGAGAATTCTTATTTTTAAGATGAATATACTCCTAGAAAATTTGAATCAAGCATGAGAGAATTATTGTACAAATTTGTAGATCCAACACACAAGGAGCTTTTTGAGGATTGCTTAAAGAGTGCTTAAGATGAGTATATTCAAAAACATAATGAACTCAAAGAAGAAATGGCAGTTGAATATGAAAAAAAGATGTTTCCAATGTTTTCAGATTTCTTTGGTGAGATTAAAACAATTTCATGCTAGTACTTTAAGCAATGGAAGCAAGAGTTAGAAGATTCAAAAGAACCTTAACAGTAAGAGGGCTTCTGGAAGAGAGTTGGTAATTATCTAGTAGGAAAATCTAGGAAAGATAAAATAACTGAACTTGAATGTGATACCTTTAAGTGCCAAACTTACCATTTCTTCAACTTCAAATATGCTTTTTCGTATAGATACAAAGAAATTCATTGGCCCCTACTTGAAAAGTACTACTAATAAAACATTGGAGATGAGCATCAAATATGTGTTCATAAATTCTAAAAAGATAACTTTGACAAAGCAATAAATAGACTTGCACTTTACTGCAACAAAATGAACTCTATGGATAGATAGATCAGATATATATCTCTTCGAGAATACATCCTAGAAAAGGTCCTAAACGAAGTAGAACCATATATTCTAATGAATAGGGAGAGCAAGTGTATTTCAGTTTACATTTAATTTCAAGCTCTCAACATTATCAGAAATGCAGAGCATTCTATTACAGATTGGAATATAAGCAAAGTCTCAGTGCCTCTTACGCACAAATTTAACAAGGACTCCAAGTTAGAAATCAAAATGAAGTCAGTTTATTTTATCAATGATACTTCAGGACTGATTTTATTCTAAAACACTCCCGATTTTAAGTCTTCCATTTACTATTTTAATATTGGGAATAAGGCTTCAGTGCTATTCAATCATTTGATAACACTATCTTCGAATGATTCAAATATTTGTGTTGAGTAAAACTTGAAATTATGGTGCTCTTATGATAACAAAGAAAGAAGAGCTAATCTTGGGAAACTCACAAACTAAGGTAAGATTGAAGATGGAGCTCCTATAACTCTTTACGATTAGATGTCAGACGGAGAAAAAATAACCTCAATTATTGATGCACTAATTATTCCTTTCGGAGATAAGCTTTTGATATTAAATGAAAACCATAGCTTGTTTGAATATAAATGGCAAGCTAGGTAGCTTAATAGAATTAGTAGAAAGATTAATAAAGGAGGGGAAGGTATCGTAAAAGAATATATTAAGCCTTCTCAACCTGAGGATCAATATGATTAACTATAAACTACAAGCGATGGTAAATATATCATTCTCAAATCTAAACATTCGATTGATGTTTACGATTTAAATTGGAGTGTAATCAAGTCTTTTGACTTACAAAGTGACTTTTTGTTTTTCAAGACTTTTACAGATAAAATAAGTAATTTCATCATCATTTTTCACTTGGGTAATACTGAATGCTTCTAAATTGTTGGACTTACTGCTACCAGAACTCTGAGATCTGAAATTTAGAGCAAGTAGAAGGACAAAAGTAAGGGAAATCCTATCATTGATTATTTATATCATGGATTCAAGAAATTTGGTCCTCACTCTGATTTTATAGGCTGTCCTTCTAGTACAAAATTAGTTGTTGCAGAATAATCTTCATTTTTTAATGTTGATGGCCTTATTAAGTATTTCAGAAATCTTAAAATGCAAAATGTCACTCTAAAAGTGTCTGAAATAAATGATATTTTAAAACCTTCTTTTTTAAGAGATGATGAATCTTTTATTGACAATCACAAACTTTAAATCATTCTATTGGGAAGGATAGCTCTCCATCTAGCAACAATTGAAAATTTCTCACTTATTCCATTGTAAAATGGCATCAATATTTCAGACTAAATTGCAGAAAATTTAATATCCGAGCGAGAGCATGCAACTGATATCCTTGAAAAAATAATATAAATGATTAAATTTGGAATTTATGAAACAGCTCTAGTTGATATAAAGTCTGATATTAGAGTAGTCGCAATTGTTGGTAGATAAAGTTCTGGCAAAAGTTATGTTATGAATAGACTTTTTGGAACAAGATTTAATGTTGCAGCAACTAGATGCACTGATGGTATATGGATGTCTTTAGTAGAACTCTATGATAATCATAATAAACCATAGTTATTTGTAATTCTTGACTGCGAAGGGCTATTTTCAGCCAGGAGAAATGAACAAGAAGAGATGAAGCTGTGCCTTACTCTTTCAGCTATTTCTGATGTTATGATACTTAATCAAGATTTATCATTTAACAGGTACCTAAATTCACTTTTCCATAATTTTTCAAAAAGTATTGGTAGAATTAAAGGCAAAAAGCTCTTCAAAGGCTATCTTCTTATGCTTGTAAGAGATGTAAAATCAGAAGAGTCTGAATAAGCTTATAAGGAACTCTAATCCAATTTCATTTAATTATAAGCCAATAAACAAGATAATTTTCTAGCAGCAGTGTTTGGAGGAGATCTTAAATCTCAATGCTTAAATTATTTCCAATAAGCGATCTTTAATGATGAGATAGATGAAGCTAGGCAAGATTATTTCTTATCAATCAACACAAAGAGATGGGATAACGGGAGAGACTTTGTTGAGAGCTTAAAAATTGTACTTGCTTAGGTATTTTTGGATGATGATACAGATATGGATATTCATAAAATAAGGATTTCATGTGAGCATCTCTATTAAACATGCATTGAAATGTTTTATAATGGGGATGAAAAGTTTATAGGTGAAGGTAGTGTATTCAAGCAAGATTTCGAAATTTATGGAGTCAATTATCCGGTAGAAGTTTCATAGAAAAGTATAATTCTTAGTTCAGAGATGGACACATTTGATTCTGATTCAGATAGTACCCAATTAACTGAGGAGATAGTTAAATACTTTGTAAATCAAACTCTTGAGTATGAACTGAAGATTCATAATTAATGGATGTCAGCATTCTGCACATATCTTAAAAACATTCTCGAACAAAGAAAGATATTTATTATAAATTATTTCAGAGAATCAATGCCTAAAGATCAAGAATATGCAGATGTTGTTAATACCTACGTATTCAAGCTTGAGTAAATATTTGACACTTATATTCCTAAAATGCAATACTGCTCAAAATCATGCAAAAACTGCACAAGACTCTGTACAATGAGATTCAACCATAAAAATAATTGTAATTGTGGAACTAGTCATATTTGCTAAGATATTTGTGATAAAACAGAATCTTGCAAGGAGAGGTAATACATTTGTGTCGAAATTTACGGTCATGAAGGAGATCATAGATGCAATGAAGGAAACCATAAATGCTCCGATCTTTGCTCAATTTAAGAATGTAGATTCCTTTGCTCTGAGGAAGCAGGCCATCCAGTCTCAAAATCTCACAATTGTGGTAATAAGCATCCTTGCTAATAAAAATGCCAAGATGTAGAATGCTCAAGGACTTGCTAATTTGATGCAACAGTTGAGCATGATGACCACATTTGTGGTGAGGAGAGATGCATTCATAAATGCTAGTTATGTGATAGGCAGTGTGTATTTCCAAATCATCTTCATCAAATTCTAATTGCAAAGGGAGAAGAGAGACCATTATCATTTTCATATGAAGGAATCAAAAAAAAGCTTAATTATCATATTTGCGATCATGATCATGAGTGCAAGAGTAATTGTGAATAAAAAGGAGTTTGTAGTATAGATTTCTAGAATATTGAAAAAACTTGGAGAAATGAATTCGGAGAGTTTCCTTACATGTATTTTATGCCAAAGGATTCAAGAAATTAATGTAATAAGAGAATTAAGAAACATGATTTAATCCATTCTGACTAGCATGATTGCAGAATCGGTTCTCACAGATGTTCTCACTAGTGTCCTGAATGCAGAAGTTTTTGTAATAAAGAAATTGATCACGATGGACATCATCATACAAACACTCATAGAAATAAGGAAAATTGTGTATTTGTTTCTGATAAAGGAAAATCTAAGGTTTCCTTGATTGCTGATGGAAAAAAGAGAGAGTATAAAGTAGGGGAATCTTGCCAACCAGAAAACTGCACATCATCATGCTAAAGAAAAGGAAGAGCTCATTTTCATTTGAAAAAATGTCTTGGTGGAGAACTTTGTGAAGCTAAAATAAATCCATTTGTCAAACACTCAGAAGAAAGGTTTCATCCATTTGAGGATCAGGTATTTGATAAATGGTTATGCTATAATTATTGGTAATCAATGGGATGGGAGCCACCCATTGAGGGAGGACTATTGGATGAAGCTTAGGCTTGTAACTTTTACTGTGCTCATAGTTCACATGGAGATGCTTATTAATTCTGCAATAGGAATGCTTGGCATAATGACGCTCACAAATTTGATTGTGAGCATCCTCTTTAAGATACTAATATAATAGATGTAGTCTTCTGTTGTGATACTACAGGATCAATGAGCTCTTATATCGAAAGATCTAAAAATGCTGTAAAGAGAACTATTGATCAAGTTAAAGCATTAGTTTCATCAGTTGGAGATAGATCTCTTAAATTTGCTTTTATTGCCTATAGAGATCACCCCCCATAGGATTCTACTTATATTACAAGAGTACAAGCTCTTTCTGATGAGGCGAGTGTTTTGACATTCATTAATACTGTCACTGCAGAGGGGGGTGGAGATGGTCCAGAAGCTATAATGGACGGTCTTTATGATTCCATTCATAAAGTAGGATGGAGGAAAGATTCTCTTAGATTCATTTTTCATATTGCAGATGCTCCACCTCATGGCAGAGAATATACTGGAGGGTCTGGAGATGGTTTCCCTAGTGGATGTCCTTGCTTAGTTACAATTGAAAGAATTGCTGAAGATTTAAAAAACAACAAAATAAAGTACAAACTACTCAAAATTGGCAGTTATCCTAATACCATGGCCTCAGTATTTAAGAGTAAGATAGAGGACTATGAAGAAAGTGATCTCGACACAGCTATTTAACTTGATTTAAAGGTCTCTGAAATTATCATCAAAGATATTAAATCAGAGGAACATGATATTATCCTTTGATTTCAAGATTAATTGATTAGATGATAGTTTATTCCTTAATTTGTTTGAAAATTTAAATCTTATCTAATATTTCAAAAATTTCAATAATTTTTTATTTAAGGGGTTTTGGGGTTTTGGGG